TTTTTGCCCCATGACCATATATGCTAATACCCTAAAATGTTTAACTTTCTTCCATTTTAAATGTATCCACATTTTCAAGCTTCTAGTCTTCCAGGTTTTTTTTTTTTAAGAAATATTTATTTTATTTATTTGTTACATTTATATCCCCCCTTTCTTCTTCACATAAGGCTAAAAGCAAAGCTTAGGTTTCTAAAAGAGCCTGTGGTATTACTACCCCAATCCTATTTCGGCTTGGTCCAAATTGCTGTTCTTAAAGAAATAAAAATGGCAAGGAACGTAAAGAAGTATTGTTGTCTTTCAAAAAGCCTGAGGTTGGTTGTTCCTGCAATGAAGTAGCCTCTTCTGACGGGCTTGACTTTTCGTTTCAGTTTTTTGAAAAAGAAAAGTTGAAACGCTGAAAGTAATTTTCAAAAGGCTTTTGAAAAAATTAAAAGAGTTAAAAGAACGATCAGAGGGGCAGGACAGTGACGGGTCAGATTGTCACTTGGCTGGAAGAGACACCATCTGGTTTATTTTTGACCCTTGTATAACAAACATGATGCACAGATGAATGTTTTTCCCCATCACATGCAGAGAATCCCCGTCATTGGTATGTGCAGGGTGAACATCTGTTTGCCAAAAAAAAAAAGGAAAGGAAAATACAGAAACAACCAATTTTAATTGCAAAGTTGACAAATGTAACAAAACTTAATTTTGGAGGGTTTGTGCAGGTGTGTGCAAAGAAATAAAGCTGGCACACCAGAGTGTGACAAGCTGTTTACACTAGAGCAGTGTTTCTCAACCTCAGCGACATTAAGATGTGTGGACTTCAACTCCCAGAATTCCTTAGCCAGCACTGCTGGCTAGGGAATTCTGGGAGTTGAAGGCCACGCATCTTACCGTCGCTGAGGTTGAGAAACACTGCGCTAGAAAGCAGCAGAGAGTTTCCTGGTTCCCATTCCTGCCATCCTGTGGCCCTTCCCTTTTTCTGCAGCCCAGGCTTAAGCTGTAGGCGATGAAGGTGTTTGCTAACTGGTTGGCTGCTGAATCTGTTTTTGCTCTTTGCGTTTAGCTGCAAAAGCTTAAAAGGTTATTTTTATTGCATATTATATCTCCTCCCCCGCTTCCCCAAGGGCCATTAATTCAAGGTCCTGCTAACTAGCTAATATCACACCATCCCGGATATAAACATCCTATTTAACCCTTGACAAACTCATATTTAAGCCCAAAGGTCACCTCTGGAATGTCCCTAAGTCCACCGTAAGTAACATGTGTCTTTCCCTCTGTCCTTAAACATTAACGTCTGCAAGGTTTCCTAAGGACACACTATTTTTTCCCTTGCCGCAGTAGCCAAGAGCTCCCTTCAAGCCCGCTTTAGAGAAGGTTGCACCCAGCTGTCAAATGTTCCTCCTGGTTCTTGATGGCCCTTTTCCAGTGATGCACTCCCAGACCACTGTGGCATCTTAGGAACAGCTGGCTGGCCAACTTTTGCTAAGTCAGCTTGTTGGGAAGCAGGAAAGGGGAAGTGCTGCGACCATGGATAAGCGGTGACTATGTTGCGTGCTTGTGATAAAACCCCAGCGGTTTTTAGACTCATCCACTAACCCAGTGTTTCTCAACCTTGGCCACTTTAAGCTGCATGGACTTCAACTCCCAGAATTCCCCA